ATGGCCCTTTATGAAGTGGGGCATGGATATTGTAGGAAAATTGCCAGAGGCACCGGGGCAGAAAGTATATATGCTAGCAATGACGGATTACTTTTCAAAATGGGTGGAGGCTGAGCCTTTTCGGCAGATACGAGATGACCAGGTGATTTCGTTTATTAAGAGAAATATCCTTTGCAGATTCAGCGTTCCTTCAGAAATCGTTTGTGACAACGGATCGCAGTTCATAAGCGCTAAAACCAGACGCTTTTGTGAGAAATACAATATCAAATTGGAAACATCGACACCTAGGTACCCGCAGTCTAATGGGCAGGCCGAGTCTAGCAACAAGATTATCATTGCCAACTTAAAGAAAAGGCTTGAAAAGGCGCAAGGCCGATGGGCTGACGAATTGCCCTTAATACTCTGGGCAGACAGGACAACTCTGAAAAATGCAACCGGACAAACCCCATTCTCTCTGGTGCATGGCTGCGAAGCGGTCATTCCTGCTGAGATTGAAATACCTTCTTCGAGGTATGGACTCATGACTGAGGAATTGAACAATGTGGAGTTGGTGCACGACTTGGATACCATTGACGAGATCCGTGAACGAGCCAAGATCCGTTTGCAGACATATCAACAAATGGTGGCAAAGAGCTATAATAAAAATGTTCGGGCAAAGGTGTTTCAAAAGGGAGATTGGGTCTTGAGGAGAGCATTTGGCAATGAAGCAGCCGGAAAATTAAGTCCTAATTGAGAAGGACCTTACAGAATCATTGATGTCATCGGTCAGGGGGCATACTGCCTGGAGTCAATCGATGGTAAACAAGTCCCTCGAAGTTGGAATGCGGTTCATTTAAAGCGTTTTCACTTTTAACAAAAGTTTCTTTTGTTTTTTGCATTTCTATCCCTATTACTAAATAACTAACTTGGCCGTCGGAGGGCCGTTGGCTTAAGGCCAACGACCGACCCTGACGATAATTATAAATACAGGAAGGCACACAAAAATGGCCAAGTCGCAGGTAATTAGTCACAGTTCACATAATCTTAAATATAGTAAATACAATTCATCATTCACTAACTTGACCGTCGGAGGGCCGTTGGCCCCAAACCAACGGCCGATCCCAACGGAACGGTATCATCGCAGGAATATGACAGGTTAAGATCAAAATACCAGGTGACCGAGTACCAGAACAACAGATAGAACATCAGATCTGCTCATGACAAAAACATCAACATACAGGGGACATGAGGCTCATTATGGAGAAACCATGAATGAGGTTCCATGAAACCGAATAAGTTTTGGCCAAAACACAAAACACATATATATTCCTCTACGCGCACATGGCAGGTTACATACATAAACGACATATATAACAACACACACGTCAACATAAACGTAAGTCAGGTGACCAAAAGGAGTAGCAACGGAATCACCAAACAACATGGATTTGACTTGGATAAACCACCAAGCACAATATCCATAAATCCACAGGAAAATATTAAAATTTCTAACAGGAAACCATGATGCAGGGGCAGTAATAGCAGAGTGAGTCTTGGAAGCAAAAACAAATGTCTAGAGACGAGAAAGTAAAGGGGAGAGGGTGCAGTTAGTTATCTCGGGAGCGTCTGGATTCAGCCTCGTTATCAGACTGGCCTACGTCAAAACCATCTTCCCCAATCGGGGGATCCATCTCATCTTGAAGCTTTAACCAGGTAGCAACGTCCTGTTCCGCAGTCCAGTTTGACATCTCGCCTGCGAGGAATGAAGTCATCAGTTCACCCCTGGTTTTCCAAGCATAAAAACAGGCCGCGTCAGTAACCTCTTGTTTCTTTTTCCTCCCATACGCCTCCAACGACTTAATACGGGTTTTTAAAGTTGAAATTTGAGTTGTTAAAATCGAATTGTCACTACGGAGACTTTGGATCGTTCGAGCATCAACGTCAGCACGAGCGTGAAAACTTTTCTCCTTTCTTTTTAATTCGTCCACAGCCTTTTCCAGCAGAACCAACCTTTCTGCAGCAACAAGGCTAGCTTGAACACTCTGCCAGATTAAAACAAATTTCTCTCGTCAAAAGAAGGATTAAAATTCTACAGGTACCGAGCATTTACAAAACGACGAGATACCTGGAAAGCAAAAGCCGAGGAAGCCAATGCCAGGCCAGCCGAGGACACATCCTTGAATACAACAGATGAGGAGGAGAGCAAGACTTGAGGCATTTCACTTCCCATCACAAGAGCATCCTTCAAACAGCAAAAGTCACGAGAGAAAGAAGCATTCATCTTCCCACCAGAGTCAGGATTGGTGGCGGCACTCACTGGACGAGAAGGAGCAGATTTCATCTCTGTATTTGGGCATTGTGGAGTTTTGGAACAACCAGATGCCAACTTAGATGGGATTTTCTTCTTTCTTGAAACCATGTTAAGAAGGCCGTAATCAGAAGGCATCGGCCGTGTGTTAGACGAAGAAACAGCTGTAGCAAGGGAAAATATATAAACATTCTAAATAACGCAACATTTGACGAATAATTGAAATAGCAGGAACAAGTACCAGCATGTTGTGCAGAACGTTTTGCTGGAAGAGAACAGGAGTCCTGACCACCGGGAAACACCATCTGAAGAGGAACAAAAGCACTTGCATTTTCACCTCCACCCCTCGAAGTTTCTGATTCATGGTGTGAATCATCTACAGAGACCGCGCGTGAATCTTGGGCATCGTCAGGGACGTTCTGAATATTACGGCGAGAGCGCCTTAATCCAACGGACCGAGAATGGTCAGGAGTGGGAGACATACCTTCATTATCAACCACTAGATTCCCAAAGGTCCGTTCGGCAGTAGTTATAGATAAAATTTTGACAGTCCTTCCTTCAGAGTCTGGACCATAGCTCAAGGGGATAGTCTTCCTATCTAAAACAAAAGAAAAAACAACAACAGTGAAAACGGTAATTTTGACGTATTGCAGACCAGCCATATAGCAACTAAATACATTTGAAATTCATATGTAAAACAAGGAGTTGTCAAGATACCTTTGTGTAAACTCTCTTCAAGAAATGCGCCCTCAGAACCCAGGGAATCTTTTTGCACAAAGAAGAACTGGCTCATCCAGCCACGATCATTAGCTTTGTCCGCCCTCAATATCAGCGCCTCGCGAGCATCTTTGACAGCCAGGGTAAACCGACCAGCTCCAGAAGAACGAAGATCATAGGTAAAACCCAGATCTTCGAAGGAGAAGGGGATGCTGTGTTTTTCGCTTAATACTTCTAAACCACGCAGAACCCTCCATACTTGTGGCATTACTTGGGAAGGGGAAACCTTGACAAAGGCTAAGAAATCTCTAACTAGGGAAGAAAAAGGGAATTTCATACCAATCTTGAAGGGATACATGAAGAAGTTGACCCAACCATCACAATGCCAATCAACCCGTTCGTTAGCGGCCGGAAACCGGATGGATGCATGCGCTGGAAATCCGGAACCATTCTTGATAGCTTCGATATGATTCTCCGAGAGTTTAGCCTGTTTTGCATTCTTCGGATCAAGGATGTGTTGAGGGATAAACTGTTGAGACGCCATAGATTCTCACGATGAATCTCTGCAAGAATCGAACGAAAGGTATTTCACAAAAGAAGAGTTATGACTGAAAAGAGGCTAGTCTGACAGAGGGTTGGTTACTCGAGGAAGGAGGCTGACGGTTTTGTCCATTTCGAGGTAGCATCAAAACGTTTAAAATTCAAAGAAGTAACCGACCGGTTGGATTAAGTTGGTAACGATTACTACTTCAAATTTTAGGGGCAATTGTTGGGCCCGGATCTGTCAAGCGAATCGGCCCATTAAATTGGATTTGAGTTTATTGGACGGATCAGCCCACGTGACCTTAAGGAATCTACAGAATCCGGCTTGGTCAAATGATATGACGAAGTGGATAAGAACGCCTAAGAAGTTGAGGAGAAAATGGAGGAACGGATCCCGATTTAGTAGGGGAAGGCTACCATTTCGCCGGGCAGTTCGTCCACATGGGGGAAAGAGTTGGAAATTCTATTTTAAATAGGCTGGCGGTAGAAGAGAGAAAAACCTGCTTAATTATCTATGCACTTGTAATACCACTCTTTGAATCATACATCCAGATTAATATATTTTCATTCATTAATTTTCGGTTTTTATATTGTGTTTCTTGTACGATCCCTACATACATATAATTTTAGACTAGTTTAATTCTTGCTTAAACAAATATATGAGGCACTCAACTTTTGGAAAAGATTAAATACAAATCTAACCCAAATTCCAAGCCATCCAGCACTCAACAGGAGATGAAAAGCCAATTAATTAAATTTTAAATACCTCGTATTTGTTCAGTCACTGATTGGGGTCGGAGCAGACAAGAGGAAGAAGAGAAGAAAATGACGATCAAAAGAAGACTTAAATAAGGAGAGCAGATTCGTGTTCATGGGGGGTGGGGGGTTAGATGATTGCTGCCTCACCGCCTCACCAAAATACCCATCCGTCTAAACTCTCTGCCTCGAGCTTCAGCCTGCGTCGCGGAGATAAGTCCAGATCGTAAATCTCATGTTAGGGGATGAGATTTTGAAAATGGGATTTCGGTCTTTATTTGGGTTTGGAAGTCTCAATATGTCTTCATGGTAAATAGAATCCAAGTCTTGTGTCTCAATTAAATACACCCAAACATTTTAGGAGTTTTAAAATGTCTTGATTGAATAGATTTCACAAATCCCAAAATGTCTTAAAATGTTTAAAATGAATACACCCCCTTAAATATTTGGAACCACTTATAAAAGTGAACTATGATGTCAACCACCTATTGCACATTACCGCTAGGTTACCGAGTTTTTCCTTTTAAAAAACTTTTTTGTGAAGCAAAAGAAAAACATCATTCTTGACCCTTGACTTTATTTATCACACACACATCGAGATAGTTGCACTTGGAATTTGAACCGTCAGATTCTGATCAACGGTTCTTAGAAACTCAAATACCTATGCAGATAATATATCCGTATTAATGATATATCGGGTTTATCCACTTCCCGGGCAAACATACTAATTACAGAGTGCTTCTATGCTAAGCAGCATTAATGGAACTGATCTTCGTTAATCGATGATCAGCACTGATAATGATCTTAAGTAAAGGCGTAAGACTATGGTTAGTGACATTACGGTGACTCTTTACAGCTAAGCCAGCCGCCCTCCTTTTCCGCTTTCCGCCACCGCCTTGCTCCTCCCTTTATATGAACTCTTTACTTATCGTCGTCTTCCAGTATCTTCGTATTCGGCGTATCATTTCACCTTTTTTTTTATCAGGGGTTCGGGATGACGGAGGGTATGGAAGTGGAATCTAGCTCCTGGCGAGATGAGTTGGCAAGCCTGATGGACGACCCCGGTGGGGTCGACGATGCTGCGCCTGCATTCGAGGCGAAGAGGTCTTCGGCGTTTTTGTTCCGGGAGAGTGAGCCGGCGAAGGAGAAAGAGAGCACGAAGGACCAAATCAAGGGTTTTGTCAAGGCATGGGGGGAATTGTTGCTGGAGTTGGGGAAGGTATGCAAGGACGTGGTGAGGCAGAGCTTGTTTACTGAGAACTCCTACATTGTGCGGAAAACGAAAAGGCCGATATCGGCGGTTTCGAAGAGATTGAGTTTCTTCAACGAATACTTGCCTGAGGATCGGGATCCCGTGCACGCTTGGTTGGTGATTCTGTTCGTCTTCTTTTTGGCATTTTCAGGTATTTTCATCTCGGTTCCGTTTCCCATTTCCGTTTCTCGACTGTCCTATCTTATGTTCCTTCACACTGGCACACTTTCAAGCTCCCCGCACAGTTCCCAAAATTATGCCATTATTAGTGGGAGTTTTATTGTTGTTCAGACTTCAAACTGTCCGCAAATTGTTTCTCTTCATTTATAACTTCAAACTGTCAGCGAATTGCTTCTTTTCATAAATGATTATGGAAACCTTTTTGAATATTAACATTGTTCCAAAAGTTGGAATCTCCCGCTCCGGAGCCCCACACCGACCAGACAGGATCGTGAGGAGGTACCTTTTTGAATATTAACATATTTGGCACAATGGCACCCATCACCCATGAGGTTGGGCTTTCGAATTTATGTTTCCCTAGAGTCTGTTTGATGGATCCTTTGGTCGATATAATCTATTTCTTGATAAACAGAATGTTTCCACAAATGATAGAAAGTTGATTGTCATGTTATAACTTATTCGATCATGTCAATCTTTCAAGTATCTTATAAATCTTAAGTATGTATCTAGAAGATATAGACTAACCTCCAAAACGTTTTTACCCAAGCCCCTCCATCCAAACAAGCCCTAGTTGATTGCTGCAATTGCCATCCCTTAATCATTATCCTAAAACTTTAAAAGCTTTGCAGTTTTGGGTCTAAATAATAGAAGAGATACTATGGGCTTAGTAGAAGTGAAGAGAGTGCGCATTCATCCTCCTAGTGCCACCAGGATAGTACTTCCAGATGGCAGGCACATGGCATATCAGGCACTAGGGGTTCCATCTGATAAAGCTAGACATTCCCTAATCATCCCTCATGGGTTCCTCTCTTCTAGGCTTGCAGGTAGAGGTGTCACTAAAATCTATTATTGGGATTTATGCATTTATAATAAATGACTAAACAATTCATTTGGTTTTTCATGTGAGAAGGCATACCAGGAGTCAAATCGTCGCTGCTGGAGGAGTTTGGTGTTCAATTGATAACTTATGATCTTCCAGGTTTTGGTGAGAGTGACCCTCACCCTGAAAGAAATCTACACACATCAGCTCTGGATATGGCATTCTTGGCAGATACTGTCGGAGTAAACGGTAAATTTTGGGTATTTGGTTATTCAAGCGGAGCTGTTCATGCTTGGGCTGCGCTCAATTACATTCCCAATCGAATTGCTGGTAATATGCTCGGCATTTTATCAAGTCACATGTTACTCTGTTTATATAATAACATGTATGTATAATATGGCACTTAGGGTCTGTAATTATGTTTTTTTGGAGGGCTTACATTATATCTTACCAAATAGAATGCATCTTTAAAAAAAGGTGATTGAAATATTAATCTCTCAGTTTTTAGAAGTATCTAAGATATATCGAGATATAGAATAAGCCATCTGAAAACTTCCCCTCTAAAGACCTCCAAAACCTTCCATCCAAACAGGCCCAAAGGCAATGCTTTTTTGGTTTGGTAAGTTTCATGGTGTCCCTTCGAAACATGCCATGAAGATGATATATTAACGGCTAATGAAGGCCCTAGCTCTTTCAACTGAATTGTAGGCTCTGTTGGTAGTTAGTTCTTGCTTATAAACAGACTAATTATAATTAGCAGCATAATTAGCAATTTTGGCTTATACTTATTTGGCTTTAATGAAGGTTGCCAAGCACTTCATCTCTAATAAAATTCAGCAGATTCGCCCATTCTAGCCAAATAACCCTCTTACTAAAGAGGCCTTATTGATGTTTTTCGGTCTAATCACAGGAGCTGCCATGCTTGCTCCCCTAAATAATCCATATGATTCAAGCATGACACGTGATGAAATGACAGGAGTGTGGGATAACTGGATGCGAAGAAGGAAACTAATATTTGGTTTAGCACGCAGATTTCCAATGTTTTTAGGCCCCATGTACCGCAAAGCATTCCTCTCAGGGCAGCATGGTAAAATTGATGAAAGGTTATCTTTATCACTGGGAGAGAAGGTAATGTATCTATCTGCCTCTTTAGAGTCTTATCTGCTTTCATGTAACATTAGTAGTAGCTGTGAGGTATGCTTAATTGGTTATTGCATTGTCACAGCATAGCCATGGTGTACAACATCTCATATTTGTTTTTTGAATTACATCGTTGAATCATTGATTAATTTATCAGTGACACAATAGGTCAAGTCATGAACCAGTTTGAGATTCTAAATGTGTGTGTGTATGTGTGCATATATATGCTTTTTTCAGATAATAGAGAAATGACGGAAAGAAGTATGAGAGAAGAGAAAATGTGTAGACCTGTAGTGTGTTTTGATGGGAATAATTATTAAAAAATAAGAGAAAAATAAGCTGAGAAGTATCTCCCTTTTGGGTGAGGGCCCCGCATGAGAATTTCTCCCATCCCTATCTCCTCTCGATCCAAACAACAATTAAAATTATTTTCCATCAATTTCTTCCTTTCCTACTACTTTCCTCCAAACCTCATGCTAAACAAACAGAGTCATGTGCAGTGCTTATATTCACAAGCTATTGTGACATTGACAAGAAGAGCAAGTGTCATGTGGTTTTGATAGTCTTGGTGCTATTTCTTATAAACAAAGATGTTCTTTTCTAATCATTAGATGCCTGGTGCCTACCTCATCTTCAACACATGGTATTATTGCAGGATAGGGTTCTAACTGAGGAACCAGCCTTTATGGAATTCTGGCACCGGGATGTTGAAGAGTCTATCCGTCAAGGGAAATTTAATCCGTTTGTTGAGGAAACTGTGTTGCAAGTGTCGAATTGGGATTTTAGGTTACAGGATTTACAAGTTAAAGAAAAATGTGACTCTTTCGGACTTTTCCCCTGGTTAAAGTTCATCTATGGTCAACCAAAATGTGAATTGACTGGATTTCTTGGACCAATTCACATCTGGCAGGTTAGTAGATCTTTGCTCTCACTAGCAAACTTTCTCCATTGTGCTATTCGTCATGAAATTTAGAGCCTGTTTTGTAAGGCTTAAGATGGTTGAAGTATATATCTTGAAATCGTTGGAGTTGCGGTTGAAATGACTCGATCTGTGTAGAATTATAAAAAGACAACTTAAAATATTATAGAAAATAATACGGAGTATCTAAAATAAGCCGAACGTTTCCATTTCAGCCAAAAATGTGAGTAATGAATTACCTTTTTTTCATTATAAGCTGATTCAGTGCACTGTTTTTTCTGTGTGTTTTGGGGTAAGAATTGGTTAATAAGCCAAATACAAAGCCTACTAAATGGATCCTTATTAATGTGACCCTCTGGTGTTTGGAACAGGGAATGGATGATCATGTTGTCCCGCCACCAATGACCAAATACGTCTCTAGGGTTCTTCCAGATGCCTTTGTGCATAAATTGCCAGGAGAGGGGCACTTGTCCTATTTCTTTTTCTGTGACGAATGCCATAGACAAATGTTCTCAACCATTTTTGGAAGACCACAAGGAACCATCAAAACCATCATCTATGATGGATGATACTTCAGCAGCAGAAGATGGTGGAGAAGAGGATTCAATTTCCACAGAATGAGCTGGTTGTCTCCTCATCTGTCACTCAATGACTCAATGCCGTGATGTATATAAATATTGAAATGGAGCTTTCTTTTGGCCTTGGAAAGCTTATGTATAGATTCTTGAGAGGAGTACATTTAGTTTGGTGTTAATCATGGTCATGGAGGTTCACGTCTAGCAGTAGCCATTGTGAAGACAGTGATAGCAGTCTTTCTTTGAGTGTGGCAGGTGACCACTGAATTGCTCATTTTGTGTTGCCAGGTGACCACAAAATAGAAACATGGTAAACAAAACATAAACTCCGAGGTACTTGAGAATAGGTTCTTTGGTACCACTACAATGTGGAGGAGTTTTTGGTATACAAGTTTTATTAACTTATTAATTACGTAGCTCAATGATATCTCATACCTTGGCAGTTGTGCATAGAAATGCGGAGTCATTAACAATTTAGTTCTTGCAATGTCATTCACTCTTTAAAAACTGAGTGCTATGTTTTAATTTCTGAAGTGCTAGAAATTAACCAGAAACCAATGTTTTAAAACTATGCCCGGCCGTCAGAAATTAAGTTAGGCTTTAGGTGGCATAGTGCATTAGTGCATAGTTGCATACCTTATACTACATACTCCGTATTAAGGATGTTTTCACTTTTGCTAATTTTTTTACTGATCTGTTCAAGTGTTCTTTTACTGATCTGTTTAAGTGTGGTCTGATACATGACTCATATATGTGTATTTTAAGTGTGGCATGATACATGACTCATATATGTGTATTTTATCATTGTCTTTGATATAGTGCTTTTATGTCGGGTAAAGGCTGGAACAAGTTCAGGTTAAAACATCTCAAAACATTATAATACTTCACATTAAGAAGTGCCACAAGTATTTATACAAGATTTTGCCAAAAAAAAGTGGGTTTCTTCATAATCTGCTTGCCATGCATCATGATCTTTGGCTTTCAGCTACCCACAAAAATTGGCAAATTAATCAAACACACAAAATTGTTTCTTCATTTTGAAACTCGGAGATTCCATAAGAGGACTCTTGAGCAGTCTTCTTGTGGAATCCCCATCACATTGGCTTCATCTTCAATCAACTCCTTCCTTATAAATTTCAATGAATCCTGTAAACAGTGTTATAAGATAAATCATTGGACTGTATAATAAAATTAGAACCAACACAAGTGAGTTTGATTTTATACTGTACCTAATACCAACTACTTAATACTACTAGTTGTCATGTTTTTCCTCTAAGGTACACAAAACATTTTCTGTAATTCTTAAAATAAAATGCGATGGAGCAGCCATCATACTTGAATACAATTTTTCTATACAATAATACAATATTGGTCACGACAAAAACTTATAAAAAATGTCACATGGGAGTATTAAGACATGAAAAGTTCATCTTATCAAATTAAATAGGAAGAATATTCTAAATATTAATATGTTATTTTTAAATTAAGTCTATATTTGTTTTCATTATATATTGGTCTTCATAATAAAAAGAAGGTATTATATTCTTGTATAACAAAACGGTAAAAATGGGAGAGTTCAAACAAGTAAAAAAAAAACTCCCTCTGTTTCGAAACTAACTTCCACTTTTTCTTTTTGGGATGTCTCAAAATTAACTTCCTACTTTATTGTATTTCTACTTTTGAATTTTTTTGCTTTCAAAGTACCTATTTACCATTTTCTTTTACTATTCACTTACCTCCTTTAATTAATTTGGACTACTACTTTTAAGGGTACTCTTGGAAAGTCAATTTTTATTTTTTTACCTACCTTTTTGGGAAAGGGTGGACCCGGGCCGGGCCTAGGCCCGGGCAGGCTTTTTTTGGGAATAGGGGTGGACCCGGGCCGGGCCTAGGCCCGGGCAGGCTTTTTTTGGGAAAGGGTGAACCGGAACCGGCCCAGGTAGCCGGCGGTTCTGGGTCGGGCCGGTCCCGATCCGATCTGGTCCGATTCAATGCTTTTTTTTTTTGTTTTTTGCTTTTCTAATTAACCCCCGACACCCTCCCCCCCCCCCCCCCCCTCTTCACCCTCCACACCCCAAACCCCCCCAAAACACCCAGCCCTACTCAGGGAAAACAAAAAAAAAGGCCTAGCCCGGCCGGGCTGGTTTACTAAATTAAGGGTCCGTACCTGGCCCGCCCCAATCCCCCAACCGGTAGGCCTGGAACCGGTTACCCTAGACCGGACCGGTCTGGGCCCTCACAGTAGCAGGTCGGACCGGTTCACGGCCCGAGCGGCCCGGGCTCGATCGATCCCTACTCGTGAAGTCAAACCTGGAAGTTAATTTCGGGATAGAGGGAGTATATTATATACCTGAGAGGTGTCTTGAAGAGAAGATGCACGACCCCATCTCTGGGAGTCCCAAAGAATTGAACTGTTAAAGGCAAAGTTGGAAATCCTAATTGGAGGACTTTCATCTGTTTGGTTGTTCACTTTCTTCAAATGCCATCCTATTACCCCGGAAGAAGAATCGCACACTGGCCCTTCTATCCCCACTTCACTCTTGTTTGATCCCAATAATGCCACTGGCCATGTCCCAAAACCCCTGTAAATTAATATCCAAACCCCATCTTTATTACCTATAAATAAACACTATTGGCTTAATTTTATATTCTTGTGTTATTTTCATCTTCTAGCTTTTTTATGTTCTTTTATTTATTTTTCTTTTATCTTGGTTATATTCTTGTGTTATTATTATCTTATATTTATGTATCTTTATTTTATTCATTTTATCTTACTTTTTTTTTCCTTTTCTTGTCCGTCTTCTCTTTTTGGCATCGATATCATAGATCGATTCATGTTAGCCGATCCCAAATTCTTTTGGGATTAAGGCTTGGATGTTGTTGTTGTACAATTTCACTGTAACTTTTGTTTGTGTTGAAATATTTGGTTCCACAATGGCCTTATAATGGCTAATCAACTGTTTTTAATGGCCTTACAAATTTCACTTGATTTGATTAATTCACCAGCTACAATAGATGTTCCTGTGCAAGGCATTACACGATGATGTTGTCATGTTTTTGTTTTCTTTTGGGGAATTTGACTTTTGAATCTATGTTTAGGCTATAATTAGACTTTATATCGCATTTTCAGAACCAATAATGTATGCATTTCATTACTTCAAAAATTGTGAAGGAATGACTATGTAAACTCAAAGGATTTGATACTAAAAGATACACCAATAATGATTTTAAAATGTGATGCAAAGTTCATTATAACCAAAAAATAGAGTGCAAAGTAAAATCTATCTTTTTCTTCCTAAAATTTTAAGTTATTCAAAAATCTATTATTAGATTACTTTAAGAATAAAGAAAGAAATCTAATTTATATAACTAAATATTTTTTCAAAAAGAATTTGCTTGTATTTAAATAGAAATAATACTTAATATATTATCAAAATGAAGATAAATGACAAAATTATAACTTGATATTTTTTCACTTGATAACTTTTCACTTGATCATAAAAGTGCACTCATGATAATCTCAATAACATTGTTATCCATAAAGTCTATTTTAGTAATATTTCAGCAAAAAATCCAATGTAGAATGTGCATGATTTTGTGATTAAATGAAAAGGTATGAAGGCAAGGTATTAAGATAAGTGTTGAAATCCCACACTCCTAAAATATAAAAGAAATAATGTATTATATTAATAACTTAACATACTTCTTCTATTAGGTTGACTCTTTAGAATTGAACTCGAGTCTTACCATGGTATGAGAGTCAAAGTTGGTTTATAACCATGGTGTGGCTTCCACATGAAAAATGACGACACAATTATAAAAAATGACAATGACGAATTAATAAAGAATGAATGACAACACGGTTCAGACAGAGTTTCTAATCGTTATGAGGGGCGTTGAAGTCTCAGACTCATAAAATATAAAGTAATAAATTGATATATTAAAAATTTGAGTTACTTTTACAACAAGTAATGAAGTGAAAGAAGGAGGAAGGAGAAAATGAGATAAAAATGAGGGTAGGGAAATTATATATGATTAGGTTACGTATACTAAATTGAGGGTATTAAGGTATTTAAAGGAAAAACTTTCCAAATAAAGAAAGGAGGGCAAGTAATAAAAAATTTCTCAAAAAAGATTAACTGACAGGTAATAAGGAACGGTGAGAATATTTTGTTTAAAATGCAATCCTACTTATCATGCTTTAGTTAGTCAAATATTTTGGTTTTAGCACAAAATATTATATTTCCAATCTTATACTTAACCTAATACACACGCACATTATCATTAGATGAGTACTGTACATAATTTTATTTATGAATTACTTTACGTGAAAATGTTGCAAGCATGGGTCATTGAATAGTTACTAAACAATAGGAGAAAAGGCATACTCTATTGTTCTGAGGTGATGAAAGAAGTTGAGATCATAAACATTGAGGAGTCCAGCAAAATGAATAATCCCACTCAGCCTGTGGTGCTCAATGTGACTAAGAGCAACGTTTCTCTGGTGATCAAGCTCTTGGTAGAAGTCAGTGAAGTTCTCCTTGACCACCAGATGCCTATACATGATTCCCGTCATCCTTAGTATCTTAGAAACCTCGGACGACGATTGCTGCTGCCCGACAACCACCCACATGAGGGGCTGAGGAACCAGCTTCAGCGTGTTTGCTAGCCTCCTTAATAGCACCCCCACTCCGATCTTGTGTTTCATGGCTGTCGGGGTGACAATTATCACAAACCTCCGGGGAGTCCCCTTCTCTTCCTGCAACTTCAGTGTATGTTTAGGTTTTGCTGCAGAAAAGTTGCTACTATCCATCAAAGTCTTTTTAATTAAGTTGTCACTGTGACATGGGATTTCAAGTGTGTAATTTGTTTGGGGTTTTGGCAAAAAATGTCTGGCAGAAAACATTGAGGAATTCCCAGTTGTTGGAGCAAAGCCTGTGAAAAAACCCATCACAAAGCAAAGCAGAATATGGCCTACGACTTTCTTCCATACTTGCACCTTCTTCTTTGATCTTTCCATGGGTCTTGACTCTTGAGTCTTGACTAGTTGGTTAACATGCAAACTAGTATGCGTAGAATTTGGCAAACTGTGCTAGAACTATTTGTATCTTTCAAATATTTATAGTTGACTTCTAACTAACTACATGATTGAGTGTTGATTTAACCTCATATCAATTGCTGAAGCTTTGCTTGGAAAGGTCACAGCTTCAAGTGAAAGGAACAAAGAAATATAGTTGGGATGAATGTAGCTTTCTTGCACCTAATATTAGTTGGGTGGTGCAAGCTCATGACCTAAAACCATTCAACAAGTTATTCCGATTTCAAATTTTCAATCACAGAACAGCTCACATAGTCACATCTACCAATTTCAGTCTGCTTATTTCATCTTTAATGTGTGTTTGAAGGGAAAAAATAGAATATTCTAACTGTAGTTTGCAGCATGCAGATCATGCATATTAAGTATTAACTGTCAACCTCACAGGTGCTAACAAATAAATTTAATAACAATAATAATACGCTGTATTGATAAAAACAACAATAAAAGCAATACCGAGTACATTTTTATAATCTCTTCATATCAACAAGAAGAGCATAAAAGCAGATGTCAGATCAATATGAACTGCTAACAAGTCTGCCCATTGTGCACTTCAAGATGAACAGTATTCCTGTATTGTCTACTTGATGAACACTACCATATGAATTAATTAAAGTTAAAAAATCAAAACAAAACTTCCTTCCACGCAAAGTTGAGGGTTTAATATGTCAGTTTTCAGGTTGTACCCAGATGGATTCTCTTTGTGGTCTGTGCTTCCTCCATTTTTTCTTAGTCATAGACATAATCCAGTCAGGAACCTCACCTCCAGATGCATTAATAACATTTGCTATGTTCCTCAGAAAAGGAACATCAGCTTCTGTGTAAAAGGTAACAGCCTCCCCGCTCCTTCCTGCTCTCCCGGACCGCCCTTGATTTAGAACATGACAAATCACAGTTTCAGTAAAACAATAATGTAACAACCACCTTCGTACCCAGAAGAGAGAAATTTGATATTGTGTTTTAAATGAAGGCTGGAAATGAGTGAAAGCTGTGAAACCCCCAATTATTATATACCAATTCTGTGAATGTATGCTGAAGCAGAATCTGGGAAATCATAGTTAATGACACAATTGACCCCTTTGAAATCCATACCACGAGCAATTACATCAGTCGCGATTAAAACCCACGTTTTACCCGCTCTGAAGTTATCAACGGCATCGTCTCTCTGCACTATATTAAGGTTAGAACTTGGAAGATAAAATACAAACACCATGTCTGCCCAAAAAGAAAGTGCCATCTTTGACCAATCATGATTTTTTAATTTTAGTGAGATACAACAATCAACAATCATAGTTAATTTTTAAATATCATTTGTTGGTGACTCTTTTTTCGGGAATTTATTTACATGAAAAATTAGCTTCATGTTATTAATGTAGTTACTATGGCACCTATATGAACAACAATACCACCAAATACAGGTGAGCAATGTTCACGAGAAATATATTACAACCGAACAATGTTACACCAATTTAGACACTTGCCTGTCCTTGGGAGAGATCAGAGTGTATTACATCCGCTCGGATGTCATCAAACTTCACTTCATTGTACAACTGCTTCGCCCTCTCTTTGTTTTGAACAAATAATAGAATTGGTGGGTTCAAACTCTGCAAAAGAATAACATTATTTCATCTGCCATCTATGTTCTAAGACAAAACCAAAGGGGTAGTCATATAAAACCTGCAAGTATATACTCTACAAGTAATTAGGACCGACAATACAGATTGGAAAACTTGGGAAAGAAAAAGCTGTTTCTGCATTGAGATCATCTAGATAAAAATGATGTTCAGAATTCCGGTTTTGCAGCACAATAATGCAAATGAAATAACAAAATGAAAGTTCAAGACATTTCCACTTAGAAAGGGGTAAGGTGCAATAATTAATGCAGTCCTACAAATCAGTATGATGGACAAAGCTAATGGGTACAAGATGAAGAAATAAAGACAAAAAGAGAGTAATAGAAGAGTAGGGAAATCTTTCATCTGCCAATAATGAACTAATGAGCATACCTCTGAAAAAGTTTGACGAAGAGCAATAAGTTTCCCTTCTTCACTTCCTACAAAGACCAGTTTCTGCTTTATTGTTTCAGATGCAGAATTTCTGTACAAGTTAGAAAGAATTAAAATCTGAGGATAATGAGACCACTTGAGGTCCTTATACTATAAGAATTTATACTTACTTCCGGCCTATGATAACTCGAACAGCATCATGCATAATTGTCCGTGCAATATTTTCAACCTCATCCGGTAAAGTAGCACTGAACAGTAGATGCAAGATTGAAGGATTTGAGCAAGCTTTGAAAATTGAATCAACCTGCTCCATCAATCCCAGCTCAAAAAGCTTATCAGCTTCATCCAAGACAAGAAATTCAACCCTGTTTATATATGCACACAAAAAGAATGATACTTTACACAACCATCAAAGATACTTACGTTTTGTTACTATAATTTTGTGGTTTAGACAATTGACCTTAAAATAATGGAGGTTGTTTACTAATGACAGAAGTTCCTAGAAATTTGAAAAGCATGAAGCATAAGATATGCTCACTTCATCATTTATTTTTATTTCTCTTCTCAAATAAAAATCAGATCTATATATGTACTTCCAAAGTGAAAAACTGATTTCTAAAGCTAAAAGCAACCACTGGTTAATCAAGTACAGTGACCACCTTTACCACTACCAGCCACGAGATCACTTCCACCACTGGGCAATGGAAGCGACAACAAATAGGCGCCACACCACTCGAGCAATCATAACCACCTTTGGCAGTGCTGACATCCCTTCCATCACCACATCAATGCCACAACTGTCAAACACAGCTAAAGGTGTCAATGATGAAAACAGCCTCCACCCCAGGCGACGACTTCCATCCCCGGTAGCAACGAGCATCCCCTGCTACCATCAGAATCTGTGTCCGCACCGGACTCCGCCGCAACCAACCATCACCAACAACCATTGTCAGCAACCACCGAACCGGCCGTCTTTGGAAACATCAGCACCCACCATTACCCCCTTGCACCACTGTCACCATCAACAACCACTGCCACAATTACCATCCCATACTGCCGGCGACCACCCCTGTGGTTGACCATCTCTGTCACAACCAGCAATACCAAGTTCCCGAACACCGTAGGATAAACAACACCCATGGTTGTCATGGTGGCGATGCGAGGCGCCCAGCAACCGCCTTATCGCGTAGGCGACAAGTCACGCCATATGTAAAATTTAAATATAATATAATACAGCATTATATATTATGAATTACTACATTGAATACATTTAAACTGCGAACTTTAAATATCTCAAGAACTAATTCAAAAATATAAATATTTATTTAATAGTGGTATTCAATAAAAAACAAGTAAAAAAAACAGCTGTCAAAAAATATAATATAACGTGTAGTACATAACCAAATATGAAAAGATGTAGTCCAACAGTCCAACTGGAGTCGACTGATCGTCATGCAAAAAAGAGAAAGACGACTAAGTGAAAGAGATCGATCGGGCATGGGCGACAAAGTAAAAGACAACAGAGTCCGGACTTCGATCTAAAAATACGCAGAACGAGCAACTGTAGAAAACGGTGGAGCGAAGATCTGTGTAAGCAATCATTGGGCTTGAAGGGTTCTAACATATCACATTTCTAGGCTGGGTCAACAAAAACAACCGAATCTGGCATCACACAGCAACTGGATGACCCCTAATTGATGCCTCAAAACTCCTAGGAAATTTCAAGCGAGCCAACAGAGTATGGCGTGGCTAATCCATCGCCGGGTTGCCTAGGCGGCGCCATGACAACAACTATCTATTCATCTTAGCCGACCCAAAAACTTTTGGGACTAAGGCTTGGGCGTTGTGGTTTGTCTTTGTAAACATGTGTTGGAACCACAATTTCTAAAGTCAAAAACACACTTAAAAGAGAAGGAAAACGTGAAAACGCAATAACGAAAACTGGAAATAAAATCTGGCGGACATATGTAAAACAGGTCCTAGAATTTCATTTTTTTCACCCACCAGTGTGTTGTCGTACATTGGAGGTTTAAAATCCAGCCAATCTATTGGCATCGGTTAAATTAACTTCTATTTATTTACTATAAATTATTGGTACAAATTAACATCCGAGGACATACCAAAAGGATTGTGATCAGAAGCAAAACAATCTCTTTCATTCCTCCCCTTAAAAAAGGGTACTTCCACTTTGGTAGCAAAGTTACAAAAAGTAACACATATTTTGATATTATGGTTTGACATACCTGCTTAAATCAAGCTTTCTGTTCTTAATAGCATATTGTAAGCGAAATGGTGTTGATATGAGTATATCACAATGCAGTACTGAAAAGTCGGCAGTTTTCGTGATCTGTTTAGTCATCAGTTTGATATGAAATTCCTTTCTTCTGGTCAACTTCTTACATTCTCTTGCTGTCTGAGCAGCTAACTCTCTTGTGGGGCAAAGAATTACAGCTCGGACTCCATCTTTGGAAGTGTGCTGGACATGCAAAAAGTAGTATTAGAAATTTAGGAATGGCTGTCTAACTCAAATGCATCAAATATTTGCACCAGTCTGTGAAGTACCTTCATCTTCATAAGTATTGGGAAGACGAATGCAAATGTTTTTCCTGAACCAGTTGGTGCACATGCAAAACACTCCCGTCCCTGACAGAGTTCAATCAAATAATATTTGCAGATGATGGCACCATTACATAAGAATTAATTGTATGTTGAAGATCATAGTTAAATGAGACCATACAGCTAGGATGACTGGAATTGCCTGTCTTTGGATTGGTGTAGGCTCTTTAAATCCCAGTTTTGCCAAATTGTGCAAGAGGTAAGACTTAGCTCCAAATCTGTATGGCCAATAAGATTTACCATCTGGAAAGATGATGCTTGAAAGCACATTACTTACATCTAAACTAAGGGTGAAACTGTAACAAAAAGGTATGAAGAACACCTTGATTTTAACTCTTTAAAGCTCTGTAGACATGAAGGAACGTTGCTCCCAGAAACATGGATATTGTGTTCCTTCCGAAAAATTGCATCCCTCTAGATGTCATTTCCGTCAAGCAAAGAAAAAGAGGCTTG